AGTTACTAATATACAAGAAGAAGAAATTACTTAATGTAAGAAAAAGGTAACTAAACTAATGTTCTAAACTTTACCTATTATGTTTTAAATTTTGTTCTAAAGTTTTCCAATATGTTCTAAAGTTTTCCCTTAAGTTCTAAAGATTTGTATTATGTTCTAAAGTTTTCCATTATGTTCTAAAGTTTTCCATTATGTTCTAAAATTTTTCTCTTATGTTCTGAAGATTTGTATTATGTTCTAATATGTATCCATTATAGTTTATGTTCATCTTATCCCTTTATATTTGCACTCTATTTAATGTTAGTTGTATTCTAATTATTTTTAATTGTTTTTAAAGGAAAGTTGAAAACGTTGAAGCGGAAGTAATTGATAGATCGGAATTTGAGAAGCATATTGAAAGTAAAAGTGTTGCTATAAGACATAGAAAACTTCCAACAAGGCTTCAACCACCTCGAAAATTGCAAAAAAAGGAAGGAAGAGAAAAAGATCAAAGAAGAAGGAAAAGATCAAAAAGAAGAAGAGGGTAATAATGTAGAGGATGATGACAAGAATAATGATAGTAAAGATGATGGTGAGGATGATAATAAGGGTGATGTAAAGATGAAAGAGAAAGATGAAAAAGAGGAGATGGAAGATGATAGTGAGGAGGAACAAAAAATCAATAAAAAAAATCAAACTCAGGTAATAATACTCTTTAATCTTTACAATCTTTATTTTTATGTTCTAAAGTGCACGCTTATGTTCTAATTTTGCTTATCTATGTTCTAATTATGTTTATCTATTCATGGTGAGGATGTGAAGAAGAAGAAAAGAAAGATTGAAAAAGAAGAAGATGGTGAGGATGTCCAAGTAGTAGAAGCTAATGAGCAAGATAAACTAGTTAAGAGGCAACCTTAATCAAAGAGTACCTCCTACTCAATTCATGAAGGATGTGTTGATAAATCTTTCGGAAAAACAAAAAGCAAGCTATTCGGAACATTGGTTTTGGAGGCTTTTTGGAATTGGATTTACCAATCCATATTAATTCTACGTAAGTAGTAGAATGTTATGTTCTAAAATCATATTCTAAAATCATAAGTATTATCAATGTTATGTTCAAAATTATGATTTGTCATGTTTGAATTGCTATACACTAATGTTCTAAATTATAAGATTATGTTCTAAATTAGTTATGCTCTAAATTTTGTGCATATGTTCTAAATAATATGATTATGTTCGAAATTAGCTATGTTCTAAATTATGTGCATATGTTCTAAATTGTATGATTATGTTCTACATTATGTGCATATGTTCTAAATAATATGATTATGTTGTAAATTACTTATGTTTTAAAGTTACTTCTTGTATTCTAAAATTATGAACTCTCATGTTTGAATTGCTATACACTAATGTTCTAAATTAATTTTTTTGTTATGTTCTAATGTATGTTTATTATGTTCTAAAATAGACTTTTTTTTATTATATAATGTTCTAAATTATGTTCAAAAGTTTAAATATTATACTAAATGTTTTAATCTTCTATGTTCTAAAGATTGACTATTATATTCTAAATATAGCTGTATTGTGCTTTAAATCTTACATTTTTTCATTATAATTCTAGGTTGACAGAAAACTTGGTTACGAATTTTGACACGGAGAGATGTTGTTTGATGTTACCAAAGAGAAAACAAGAAATCTTTTTGGAGGCAATTGATGTTCATTTGGCTTATGGGTTGCCATTGGGAGGCAAAAGGATTGAGCAACCAAATGATGAGTCAAATCTGAAATGGAACAAGTTTCTAAAAGCTTGGAGAAGCAAGTTTGGCCTCAAAAAAGTATGATGACATAATGTGGTTATGTTTTAAATTTTATGTTCTAAAGTATGAATTTTATGTTATAAATTGTATGTTTTAAAGTGCTTTGCTTATGTTCTAAAGTGTTTTTTGCTTTAAAATAGATCTATTATCTCCATAGGTTTTAATTTATATGTTTTTTTTACCTCTAAAAGGGAAGTCCAACCAACAAGAGATTGATTGACAGAATTCAAGAATTGAAGAAGGAAAAATCAGTTTCTGATGAATTTCTTTGGAACTTTGTGGTATGTGTTGTCAATTGTTGCATTCGATCAACAAACAACCCACAACTATACATTAAATTCTTGTATAATTGTATGGATGTAAAGAAAATTGCTGAATTGGATTGGTGCACATTTGTGATTGAGCACTTGAAAGATTCTGTAAGTGTATGGAAGAAGGGAAATTCTTACTTTACAGGTCCTTTACCTTTTCTAATGGTAAGTTTTAAAATTCTTACCATTATGTATATATATTATTCTTGTTATGTTGAAAATGTGTGAAAAATATTCTAATTAATTCTTAACATGTACTAAATAGGTATTCTATTTTGATCGTCTACAAAGAGGAGGGTTAGAAAAACCAAGAAAATGTCCACTAATTTCGGTGTGGACAAAGGAAAGGATTCAAGTGAGATATAAGTTTGAAAAAGATCATGGATTTGGATATGGAAAACTCTTGGAAAGAATGGAATCAATTGTGGTATGATATTTGTATATGTTTATGTTTAAACACTACACTTTATGTTGTTGTTTTCTAAATTTTATAATTTATATACTAGAAGGCACCAAAAGGAAAAAAGAAACAACCAAAACAAAAGGAAAAAGAGAAGAGAATGGAAAAATCATCAATAGGTTCTAGTTCTACAACTTCTCGAAATGACATGATGGTATGATTTAGTTTATATTGTAAATTATATTTTATGCTCCATTTAATCCTTTTCTGTTAAATTATCCATGTTATGTCCTTTATGTTCTAAAATATTTTTGTGTTCTAATGAAGGGCTTTTTGAGCAAATTTGGAGATTTGGCAAAAACACTTGCCTCGAATGTTAAAGAGATGTATGGCATGTTAGAACAAGCAAAAGATCTTTTTGTTGAGGAAGAAACAACAGGAAAAATGCAACATCTCATAGACAACATATGGTGCAAGTACACAACAAAGGTATTATAATTATGTTCTAAAGTATTTTCTGGTTGTGTTCTAAAGTATTTTCAGCTTATGTTCTAAAAGTATAATAAATTTATATAAATATTATGCATATTATGTTCTAAATTATAATTTCTTATTTTATAGACATTCGTGAACCAAGAAGAAAAGAAAAGCCCTTCTATACTCAGCCAAGATCAACATGTCTTCGATGAACCGGCATTTATTGAAGAATTGGATATGGTTATGGATAAGGCATGGAAGAAATTCGAGGAAACAAGGTCACCAAAGTCACCGACAGTTGGTAATTTCACATGTACATGCTTAATTTCCAAATTATACTTATGTTCTATATTAGATGCTTATGTTTTAAAGTACTTTTTTATGTTCTAAAACATGCGCTTAAATCACATGCTTATGTTCTAAATTATATGATTATGTTCTAAATTAGTTATGTTCTAAATTAGTTATGTACTAAATTAGTTATGTTCTAATTGTTAAGCAGATTTGAGATCAAAGGAAGAGGAAAAAGATAAGAACAAAGAAGAGAGAAATGAAGAGAATAAAGACAAAAACTTGTTGATTCCCTCACCAGTAGTTGGTAATTTCACATTATTTTCAAATTCATTTTTTATGTACTAATATTTACTAGATATGTTCTAATATTACTTCTTATGCTCTAAATTTTTTCTGGTTATGCTTTAAAGTTAATTCTTAATTTTTTATATTCTAACTATTTCTAGGTTGTCTCCTAATTGTATATATTTCTTATGTTCTAAAGTTACTTTTTATTTTCTAATTATTTTTTGCTATTTGCTATAATACTTAATTTTTATGGTGTAATTGCTATGAAGATTTGGGATCAAAAGAAGAAGAAAAAGAGCAGTACAGAAAAGAGAGAAACGAGGAGGAAAAAATTGAGAAGAAAGAGAAAAGGAATGAGGAGTCACCAAAAACCCCAATTCCTCCAAAAAAGAAGCAACCTTTTGATATAGCTCCTCCAAGTTTCAAGTTATTGACCCCCTCACCAGCAGTTGGTAGTTTTACATTATTTTCAAACTTTTTTCTTTTGAAATAATATTACTAGATTTGTTTTAAAATTACTTCTTATGTTATAAATTTTTTCTGTTATGTTCTAAAGTTATTTCTGATGTTCTAAATTTTTTTCTAAATCAGATGCTTATGTTTTAAACTACTTTCTTATGTTCTAAATTATGTGCATATGCTCTAAATTATATGATTATGTGCTAAATTATGTGCATATGCTCTAATAATATGATTATGTTCTAAATTATGTGCATATGTTCTAAATAATATGATTATGTTCTAAATTAGTTATGCTCTAAATTATGTGCATATTTTCTAAATAATATGATTATGTTTGAAATTAGTTATGCTCTAAATTATGTGCATATGTTCTAAATTGTATGATTATGTTCTAAATTATGTGCATATGTTCTAAATAATATAATTATGTTGTAAATTAGTTATGTTCTAAAGTTACTTCTTGTGTTCTAAATTTTTCTGGTTATATTCTAGTTATTTCTAATGTTCTAAATTTTTTCCAACTATTTCTATGTTGTGTCCTTATTGTTTCTACTTATGGTTTGATGTCCCAGAAAATCAAGAAGATAATGAAGCAGAACTCACTTACGAAGAAGTGACAGCAAATGTTCTAAATTGTGCTTTTCTAAATCCAGATCATCCACCTACATTGGATGAAGAGGAGAAGCAAGAAGAGGAAAAAGAGGAGAAGAAAGAAGAGGAAAAAGAGGAGAAGAAAGAAGAAAAGGAGAAGAAGAAAGAAGAGGAAAAAGAAGAGAAGCAAGAGGAGAAGAAAGAAGAAAAGGGGAAGAAGAAAGAGGAGGAAAAAAAGGAGATCCAAGAGGAGAAGAAAGAAGAAAAGGGGAAGAAGAAAAAGGAGGAAAAAGAGGAGATCCAAGAGGAGAAGAGAGAAGAAAAGGGGAAGAAGAAAAAGGAGGAAAAAGAGGAGAATCAAGAGGAGAAGAAAGAAAATGAAGGAAGCAAGAATGAAGAGAAGAACAAAGAAGAAAAAAATGAGAACAAGAAAGGGTAATCATTTTGTAAACTTTAAAACAAATGTTGGTTATGGTTTAGTTAAATTTTAATTTAGAACTTGGTAATAATAAATTTTGGTTTGATTTGGTTATGGTTTTTGTTATCAATAAATTTTCGTTTGATTTAGTTATGGTTTTTGTTATCTATGTGATATTTTTTAATTGAATTAAGTAGGAAACAAGGAGAAGAAAAAGGAGAAGAAAAGACACGGAAAAAAAGAGGAAAGGATAAGCTTCCAATGTACTTGCGTTCACCTTTCATGGTTGAACATGAAAAACTTTTCAAGAATGTGGACAATAGAAAGGTAGCTGAGTATGCGTTTGCTCAAGGAGATAATAAGTAAGACTTTAAAACTTTAAAATTATATGCTTATGTTCTAAGCTATATGCTTATGTTCTAAGCTATATGCTTATGATCTAAGCTATAAATTATGTTCTAAACTTCATTCTTATGTTCTAAACTGCGTGTTCTAAGCTACGAGATTATGTTATAAAGTACATGTGTAAAACTATATGCTTGTGTTCTAAAATAGGTACTTATGTTCTAAACTATATTCTTATGTTTTAAATTATGTGTTTATGTTCTAAACTACATGCTTATGTTCTAAACTACATGCTTATGTTCTGATTTTATTGTTCTGATTTTAGGGAGCTTTTGTATGCTGATAACATGGGGACAACGATTACGAGAGATGAGATTCATAGTCTCATAGAAGATAAGCACATGTTGAACAATGTTGTGGATGCTTATGTTTGCCTATTGAATTTTGAAAATAAAAGACGTGGTGTAGACAAGAAGAGTAGATTCTTTTTCAGTACTGAATGCTATGTATGTTTTCGAACTTAAAATTATAACTATGTTCTAAGAGTAGATTCTTTTTGTTTCTCATATAGATTATACTATGCACCTATGTTCTAATTACTTATGTTTTAATTTCTTTTTCTTTTTCAGCTCATACGTTGTACAGAAAAATACTTCAAATCAAATGAAAGGCAAGATGATAGAATGAAGGCTTTGTTTGATAGAATGCAACAAGAAATGACAACGACCGAAGTAACAAGCTTCAAAAGCATTCAATTGGTAATTTGGTATCTTATTATGTTGTACTTTTTTCTTATTATATGTTCTAATTATTGGTTTTGTTTATGTTCTAATTATTTTTATCTATGTTTTAAAGTATCTACTTATGTTCTAAACTACTTATTTATCTTCTAAACTACTTACTTATGTTCTAAACTACATGTTATAAAAATTATATGCTTGTGTTCTAATCTATATGCTTATGTTCTAAAATGCATGCTTATGTTCTAATTTTGCTTATCTATGTTCTAATTCTGTTTATCTATTAGGTTTTCTTCCCGGTCGTTTTACTAGATCACTACTATTTGCTGTGTGTCAACTTTGTGGAAGGAACATTTGATTTGATTGACAACAGATTTCTTCCACCAAATATTCCTTTTCACAATAAATATGGAAATTACCATAGATTAATGGTAAGACATCAAGTTTACATTTTTTTAATTATACTTTTGTTCTAACTTTTGCCTTATATGTTCTACAGTTTTTCTTTATGTTCTAAAGTTTACCTTATATGTTCTAAAGTTTATCCAATTTTTCAGTTGAATGCATTTGCTGATTTCGTTCACTCAATTGACTCAAATATAAAGAGTGACTTTGTATCCTCCTTCAAAACAAGAAACTTGAGTATGTCATGGAAGAGCAATAAGAACAAACATGATTGTGGAGTGTTCCTGTTGAAGCACATGGAAACATATGAAGGAGAATCTGTAAAACAATGGAATTCGGGACTAGAATTAGACAATGTAAGTTTAAAACATAAGATACATGTTTTAAATTAGTTTCGTTTATGGTTTTGGTGTTATGGTTTTAGTGTTGTGGTTTGGTTTGGTTATTGTTTAGATATATTATGGTTTATTATATTTATTTATACTTATATGCTAAATTATATTCATGTTCTAAATTATATGCTTATGTTCTAAAGTATTTCTGTTTATGTTCTAAAAGTTACTCTTTTTTTTTTTTTTTTGCAGTTTGACCAAATGTTTATGTTTATGTTCTAAAAGTTACTCTTTTTTTTTTTTTTTTTGCAGTTTGACCAAATGAAAAAATTAAGAGTGGAGTATTGTGGGAAGATAATAACAGCAGAAGTAAATGAAGAACGGAACAAAGTGATTAGGAGATCAAAAAAGTGGTTAAAGGAGAACAAAATGGATATATGATTGTTAAGATCTTAAGTTTATATTTGTAGAGAGATATTTGCAAAGAATATAACAGTAATTTTTTATGTTCTATGTATTTACCTGTTACAAGAAATATATTGTTGAATCATATTAAATGCTAAAATTTTAATATAAAATATATCATATAAACTTATATGCTAAATTATATTCATGTTCTAAATTATATGGGTATGTTCTAAAGTATTTTTGATTATGTTTTAATAATTATATGCTTATAAAGTTAGGATATTAGAATATATTATTATATATTAATTTTGACTTAAAACTTAAAGTGTAGAATATTAGAACATAAGAAAATTAAAAAAAAGTAACAAGAAATGACAACAGCCAAAGTAACAAGATTCCAAAGCATTCAATTGGTAACTTGATTCTAATTATATCTTATTATGTTGTACTTTTTTCTTATTACATGTCCAAATTATTGATTTTGCTAATCTTCTAATTATTTTTATCTATGTTCTAAAGTATTTGCTTATGTTCTAAACTGGCTGCTTCTAATCCATTACTTTTGCTTTATTTTTCCTTTTGAATACAATGCATACACTCTTTAGTGCATATCTAAGAAGGCATATGTAAATCAATGTTAAGAAACTTGAATAAATAAAAGTTGATTAAAGCAAGATTCAACTAAATGTTGTTTAATAAAGGTATCTAAAATGCTTGTACTATCATTACTCGTAGTTCAAATTGACTTAATAAAACAACTTATAATTACGAAAAGGGGGGAAGATGAAAAGACAGGAGATGTTATAAAACATTATAATCAACTTTAATTAACATAAAAATTGATAAGAAAAACACTAGTAGAGATACTCTGAATAATAATTGGACAAAAAAGAAATAAAAATATATTGTTTCTAAAAGTAAATAAATTGAGTTCTTATATTTTAAGAATTACATGAATAATATTTTACGTGCTAGTAAATGAGATATTGTTTCTAAATATATAACATCTCATGCAACTGGATTAATAGTATATTCACCAACCTGTAAAGAAAAAAAAATAAAACAATATTAGAACATAAGCACATAATTTAGCATTAAAAAATGTTATAACATGCCATTTCTATTAGTTTAGAACACATGATATTATATAGAGTAAAAACTTTAGAACATTTAAAGAAACCTTTAAAACATATAAAGAAAACTTTAGAACATATAAAGAAAATATTTTGAACATAAAGAGAAAAGTTAAAATATAAAGGAAAACTTTAGAACAAAATGAATAACTTTATATTCTAAACATTAGAGCATATTAAATTACACTAAAACAGAAAGAATAAACATTAGAACATAGAGAAAACACTTTAGAACATAGAAAAGTAACTTTAGAACAAAGAGAAAACACTTTAGAACATATTGAATTACTTTAGAACATATATGAATAACTTTATGTTCTAAACTTGCTTAAAACATAATTACTTTAGAACAAAATAAATATAAGAAAATTAAAAATAAAGTTTACTTACAATATCACTTGACTTTTCCAGGGCAATTACGACTATCATGATAACCAAGCTCCCCACATGCTCTACATAATCTCTTCTTCTTTTGACTTTGTTCAATAGACTTTTCTCTGTCACTCTTCATTCTTTTGTCACTATTTGGAACATGAACCTCATTTGGAACATGGACATCATTTGGAACATGGACATCATTTGGAACATTTACGTGATTTGGAACATGAACCTGATTTGGAACATGGACATCATTTGGAACATTGACCTGATTTGGAACATGAACCCCCGTGCCTTTGTTCTTCGAAATTTTAGGAGGTTTGATTAAAACATTAGAAGGTAGACTAGCTCCAATAAGCATTTCAATGTCTTTAACTTTGCTCGAAAGATTGTTGCTTCCATTTGTTTTCTTCTGTTCCAAATCTACCCTCATGGCTCGAAGTTTTTTGACAAGATCACTAAGATCATCTTCATTGTTTTGCACTAAACTCACACAAGCATGAATTTCAGACCACAAATCATTTAATAACATTTTCTTATCTACTGCATTAATACATTCCTCCAACACATTACCCTCTAAATCAAAAATGGGCTTCTTATAAGCCATTGTACACCATCTATTTAGAATGTAGGCCTTGGGAATTTTTTCTAACATCCTTGCCTTCCACACCCAAATCATATGCCTACAAGGCACACCATCACGTTCAAATTTTTTACAAAAACACTTGGTATCAAAGGTAGTTGGATCAAAAACAACATCAAAAGTCCTCCTTCTAGTTCCTTCCCTCAAATTGAAAATGTAAAGCTCATTGTCCTTCTTCATCTCCTCAACACCACAATTAAAACATCCAATTTCAAGCTCATATTGAAATTCATAGAAAATTGTTGTTGTAAACAATTCAGAAGCATCTTTCTCTAAAGGAATTGGAGTCTTACACTCCGGACGCTTATTCTTCGAATCATTATCCATTTTATTTTGAGTGTGCCTTTGAGCATCCAATGCACATTCAAACCTATAGAAAATAGAAATTAACTTTAAAACATAGAAGATAATTGTAGAACATAGAGTGAATTACATTAGAACATATAAATATACATGACATGTTTATTATGATCTAAATATTATTAAAACATAAAGAGAAAAAGAAAACATAAAAGAGAATTATAAAATAAATAGTAAAACTATAAAGCATAAAAAGAAAACTTTAGAGCATACAAGGAAAACTTTAGAACATAAAGAGTAACTTTAGAACATATATAGACAATTACTTATTACCTCATGTAGAACTCAATCAAAGTGAGATGGGGATTTGTGAACATAGTGAAAAAATTATTTTCACTTTCTGATCTAGATGTGGTTCTCATAATGCCACCCAAAAATAAATCTCTGAAATACGCTGGAATCCACATATCACGTATGTTGTACATGTATGCCAACCATTCATGATCGTTCAAATGGAATTCTGAAATAACTTTGTTCCACTTTTCTTCAAATTCTGCCGGCTCAATCTCTAAATGCCAAACACATGAACACAGTTTTTTCAAGAAATCAGTGTCTTGGGCAATCGCCCGACCTACTTTTTCAGGCACCTTTTTCATAATATGCCACATACAAAACCTATGTTCTGTAGTTTGAAAAACATTACGAACAGCAACTTTCATTGCAGGGTCTTGATCGGTAATCAAACACACAGGCTCGTTATTTCCCATTGCTTTAAGAAAAGTTTTGAAAACCCATTCAAAAGATGATATATCCTCATGAGCTACAAAAGAAGCCGCAAAAGTAACACATTTTTTATGATGATCAACTCCAGTAAATGGACCAAAGATCATATTATATCTGTAACATACACAAATTATTTATGCAGAAAATAGAGGTAAACTTTAGAACATAGAGGTAAATTGTAGAACATAGAGGTATACTTTAGAACATAGAGGTATACTTTAGAACATTAAGGATAAACTTTAGAGGATAGTAATTTACTTTAATTATTAAACTTGGCAGTAATATAGTTGTTTTAAAACATAATGAATTACTCTAAAACATAAACACTAAACTAAAAATATACAGTAAAGCTTTAAAAACTTATAAGTAAACTTTAGAACATATAGACATAATGTTTAGAACATGATGGATATTAGTTTAGAACACAAAGAATAAAGTGTAAAACACAAAAGCATAATGTTTAAAGCATAAAAGCATGATGGATATATTTTAAAGCATAAGGTAGAACATTAGCAATATATGTTTAGAACATAAGGCATACATAGTTTAGAACATAAAGAATATTTGTTTAGAACATCAAAACATGATGGATATTTGTTTAGGAACACAAGGCATGATATTTAGAATATAAGAACATATGTTTAAAAAATTAATATGTAAAAGTAAAATATTAATTACATTATGAAAGAAATTTATATTTAAAACATCACCTGTTTGTTTTGAATGTGGTATCAAAAGAAACCATATCACCAAAAAGTGCATAATTTTTTCGACAGATTGGATCAGCCCATAAAGCTCTACAAAGTCTATCTTCTTCATCAACATCATAGAAAAAAAAAATGCACTCCAGAGCACTTTCTTATTTTGAAAATTATCCACAAACATTTGGGCATCTGATCCATCAATATAAGCCTTCAAATCTCTATAAAAATTTTTGAAATCTTGTTTAGATGCACCAACATTATCATGTGATCCAGCTAATTCTTTCATCATAGTATAAGACCTCACAGGACCAACATTTACCTGTTAGAAAAAAAAAAATATTACTAAGATTAAGAATTAACTTTAGAACATAGTAAATCAAAACAAAAAAAAAACATTATTTAGTACATAAAAATAAATCACCTTTGAATTATCAACAATCAACTTTTTATGCATAATATGCATTTTTCTATTATCCTTCTGAAATTTTGCACAACTTGGAGTATATAAAGGATGATTATGTTCTTCTTTGAAATGAGTTAAAACATACTTTCCAGCATCATATCTCATACATATGTGAGCATTGCATCCTACACGAGTGACTAAACGTTTCCTAGTAATATGAACTTTTCCTTCTTCATAAACTGTTTGTTGAGCAATAGGTTTTCTTATTGCCCTAAAACCTTCCTTATTGCAAACTCCATATTGAAAAGCAATTATATCTTTGTTATTCTTCTTCCTTTTAGTAGTAGATTTCCTAGAAGTAAACCCAGCGGCATTTGCATATGCTTTATAAAAACTAAGACCCTCTTCAGGATCTTTAAATATCATACCCAAACTGGGTTTTAACTCCTTGGGAACATTTGGAATCCATTCCTTAGTGGTACCACCAGGGCTAAATGATCCAACAACCTCTGGAGTACGATAAATATCACCAACTGCATTAGAACATGAAAGTAAACATTAGAACATACAATGAAAGTCATAGAATATGAAGAAAACATTAGCACATAATAAAAAACTTTATAATATAAAGAGAAAGATACATAGAAAACTTTAGAACATACAGAGAAAACTTTAGAACATCAAGGATAACCTTTAGATCATAGTAAATTAGGGACATACTTATAACATATTGCTTTAGAACATAGTGAATTACTTTATAACATACATAATAAAATTTAGAATAAAGTAAAAAAATTAAACTAAAAGGTTAACTTTAGAACATACAATGAAAGTAAACATTAGAACATAAAAAGTAAAATTTAAAACTAGAAGGTAAACTTTAGAACATAGAATGAAAGTTTTAGAATATAAAGATAAAGTAGGATTCCCTACTCCCTATGTCAGATTGGTGGGGCCATGGTTTGGTGATTCCAGTGGCAGTGACATGCATCAACTATCCCTATGTCAGATTGCTAGGATAAAGTAGCATTCCCAACTCCCAAGCCCCCAATGCCCAGCTCCAAGACGAGCCTTGAGGTTGTTGTGGCATTATCCAATAATGATCGATATTGTTTACCCACAGTTTACTTTGAATCATTACAAATTATTTAAAATGGATTAGATATTTTTTATTTATCAAATTAATTAACTTCCTCAATAATGATCAATATTGTTTACCCACACGTACTACTTTTTATAATCCTTCATCAACCACTCTTTCATACTCCGATGTATTCTGCATTCTAAAAGGAGTTCAATAGGCAACGGAACATGGCATTTGCACTTATCATTCGGATGGGAACATATAGAGAAAACTTTAGAACATTACCGATAAACTTTAGAACATAGTAAAGAAACTTTAGAACATGTAAGTAAATTGAAATTAAAATATTAAAAACAATAAAATTACCTGAATGAGTAACACAAGAAGAAGGATAATTAGGTTGAACACCATCTAAATCCATCAATATGCAAAAACCTATTTAAAAAAACACATATTGTAGCAAAAAAGCAACTAGAAATTAAAATCCATTAAAAAACAAAAATATGGAAAAAAAAACTCAAGCAAAGGAAAAAACAGAACAATCTGGAAATGAAAAATCACAAAAAAAACAGAAAATTAATGAAAAAAAACTGAAGAAAATTCGCAAAAAAAAAAAATAGATAAAATCGAAAAAAACAAAAAATAATTGCTCGAAAGTAGGAAAAAAAAACAAAAAAACATATAACATTGAAAAAATCTGGAAATGAAAAATCGAAGAAGAAAGAGAAAACTAGAAAATGAAATTGATGAAATTAATGAAAAAAACTCAAGAAAATTCGCAAAAAAAAAAAAAAAAAAAAAAAAAGATAAAATCGACATAAACTTACATTAATCTCAATAATAAAAAAAATGAATGATGAAATCGCAAAAAGAAAAAAAAAACAGATTTTTGCTGATTTTCGAATTGATGAATTGCATATCCACAAATAATATGAAAAATAAAATTTCACACAAATTCGCCAAAATAAAAAAAAAATCAACAAAAATTCGCAAAGAATAGATATCAATAAATAAATTAACTAAAAGAATTATCAAAATTATAAAAATTGAATAACAAACCTTAATTTCTTGAAGGAATTTGCATCCAAAAGTATGAGAAGAGAGAGAGTTGTAATGTATGAGAGGAGAGAGAAAGAGTTGTAAATTTGTAATGTATGAGAGGAGAGAGAGAGCTGTAATGTTCAAAGCCCAAAAAAAAAAAGGAAAGAAGAACCGTGAATGAGGAGAAAGAAAGGGAAAAGAACAGCAAAAATTACTAAAATGCCATTACTAATCATTCATTTTCAGCGGTCAGATCAAACTAATTGTACGGTCCAGATTAGTTCTTATATATAATGGGTTCTTATATAGAGGAGGGTTCTTACATGAGCCTTCCTCTATATATATATATATATATATATATATATATATATAGGGAATGGATCATGTGAAAACAAGTCTAAGGCTGAAAACTAAAAACAAGTAATCTAGACCATTGATTCTAATCTAACGGAGGAGATTAATTTCGTGTATTAGACATACGCTCACTTCTTCCTCCTTCACACATCTTCTCTCTCTAAAATTTCAAGCAATTCTTTCTCTCTCTTTCATGTTTTGGATGGAAATTCTATCATCAAATTGGTAAGTTTATCAATTTCATCATCAATTTCTTCAATTGTTTAAATGTATATGTTCAATTTATTTAGCTATTTTAATTTTTCGGTTTAATTTCTTCAGTTATAGTTCGATTTTTCGGCTTTAGTTTTCACTTTTGTTCGATTTTTACGGCTTAATTTGTTCAGTTGTGTTAGATTTTTTGTGCTAAGTTTTTTTCAACAATTTTGTTTGATTTTGCGATTTCGTGTTCGATTTTGTTCAATTTTGTTCGATATCCTATTTGATTTTGCTTGATCTTAGTAAATTAGGTTTTTATGTGTAATTTTTTGCTCGAAATTCTACTCTTTACTTTATTTGAGCTATTTCATTCTTAATCGAGTTTCATATGAGTGTAATTACGTTATAATTCGACTTAATTTCTTCGTTTGGCATTCTTGAGCTTCATTTGTATTTTATTTGTAATTTTTGCTCGACTTTATTCCGGTTTTGAATGCAATTGTATTTTCGTTTAATTTTGTATTTTCTAATTGGCTGAATTGTTGATTGTTGGAAGTTGAATTGCTGATGTTGGAGTCGAGCTTTGGTGGCGAATTGGTGGAGCAATTGGTGGCTGTTGTGTGGGCGTCTAATAAAGCCTTCTGTAAATGCGATTGCTAGCTGCATGTATTAAATAGTAAAGTATGTTCTGATCTGCATATAATTAGTCAATATTAGCTGGTTGTTAATGTTTCTGAATCTACAATTATTTCTGCAGCTAATGCTAAATTAGATGATATGGTGTTACAATTTCAAAATATATCAAAATAGAGCCACTGCTTTTCAATTTCTATCTTTTAGCCAAAGACGAATTGTTGTTATTCTTCCATATAGTTTATGGTGAATGTTACTTGGACTTGCATAGTTGGTTGGAGTGACTAATGGTGCAAACATGAAATAGTTGATTTTAGCAAATTACAGTCTATGGCTTATGTTGATTTTAGCAAAAGTAAGTAATTGATAATAAACTGGTCATTTTTTTAAAGTCTACAAGTTTACTAGTACCGCAAATCTTGTAATCCATTGTTTATTAAAGCTATAGTTTAAGTCTGCAAGTGTAATTCATTCATTATGTTCTCATGATGAGTGATTCGTTATTAGTGCAAATAAAGCCTGACATTTTTATTATAAACCTTCTCAAAAAAATAGTAAGCAACTCTATAGATTAGCATTAGCCCCTTCTAATTCATATAGCTTCCTTGAGACTCTCTGGCCTCTATCATCAATCAGATTGTTGTTAGTAGGTTAGGTTCTACACCGTATACATACAAAGTTACCAACCAGCTTTGTCCTTGATTCTCAAAATGGTTGCTAAATTGCTAGCAAAGGTAATTGCTTTGATCTTGTTTATTCGGATGTTATGTCTGCATTGTTATACTGGAAGTTCAGCTTAATGCTTATGCTATCTAGTGTAATAACTGTTTTTTGGAGTTTGCAATTGATATTTTTGTTGAAGGTGGTCAGACACAAGTCTTTTTTTTTTTTAATGTATATGTTTTATTTCAGTTTCCTTGATTTTTTTTTTACAGGCAAAGTATGAATCTAGGCGCACAGGCCGCACACATTTCCAAAGTGATAAAGATCAATGCAGTGCACTTTATAGGCATTTAAAAGAAAGATTGAAGGCCGGTCATTTTACTATTAAACAAATCTTTGACAGATGCAGAACGTGCTTGCCTGCCAACAATTGAAATTGAACATTGGAAGTGGCTTGTATTTAAGTATTGGAACTCTACAAAACAGAGGGTAAGTCTTGAGATTTTGCTTGTAATTACATTACACTAAGTGACATTCGTCTTTTTAATCCAGCATATAATTTTTAAATGTTTTAGGAAATGAGTGAAGAATTGAGCTAATGCTAATTCAAAGAAGATCGAATCTGAATGTGGTGCCATCAATAGCTAGGATAATCTATGAATTGGGGAGCAATCTTTTGTAGAATGTTAGTTTAAACAAGAATTATAATTGTGATTTCTGATGCTATATCAGTGAATCCTGTGCGATTTATGATTTATGGCTGCATGTTAAAAATAATAATATCCTCAACAATTTATTAATGCCAAGTTTTATGGCGATTGACTCTTCTGGCCCAAAATCAGTCCACGAATATGTTGTCAAGGTTAGTTTTAATTGTTTTTTGCAGCTCAATTTTTACCTTGTTTGTTAAATTCTCAAAATTCCCAGTCTTGCTGTATTTTGATTAGCTATGATGTTGGTTTTCTGTTTTCAATTTCATGTTTATTGGATTAATATTAGTAATTTTTCATAAATGTGGTCCGTCTTTGCAGGACTATGTATTTGTCTATGGTGTTGCATCTATAAAGTACTATGTCGTCATGCGTTATCTGATAAGACAAATGTTTTGGTTGTAAGCATCTACGTTTTTGGCATGTTGAAAGCCTATTAGCTCAATTG